ATATATGTGTTTTCCACTGGTCTTAGGCGACCCCTGTGAAAGGGTCATTTGACCTACAAAGGGGTCGCGACCCACAGGTTGAGAACCGCTGCACTAGAACAAGAATTAAAAGGAGCAAATAAATATAATGAATGAATCAGAACTCCTTTGGGGACCCCAACCCTCAGGGACTAACAGATTTTGTGAGGCCTAAAGTTTACTGAACCTGAAGGACTATTTTTGGGAGGGGGGGATGTTTTAATAAGGTTCAAAATGACTTTATTTAGAATAAGAAAATAAATTACAAATAACTGTAGGCTTGGGGAATCTGTCCCTTTCTCTTTTAAATCATTTCAGGCAGGTTATCCAAAATGCTGCTGGTTGCAACTTGCTTGCTCTCTCCCCCAAAACAAATCCAACTCTCACAGGGGCTCTGAAGCTTCCTTAGCTTTACCATAAAAAAGAAAAAAAAAAACATTTCAACAACACTCCTTTCTGGACAAAATTCTTTCTTTTTAAATTTTTTAGTTTTATCAGAGTAGTAAATACGTAGTTCATAAAGTATCTTTTTTTTCCTAATAGGTGTGTAGTGTAGTGGTATATCGTTGTTTTTGTTTTATTGTTGACACTATTATAGATGTCTCCCGTTTCCCCCCTTTATCCTCCTCCACCCAGACCCCCACCTCTGGCCATCACCACATTTTTATCTATGTCCATCCCCCTCCCCTCTGACCTCTGTCAGTCCCTCCCATCCTATATAATAAAAGGCTAATACGCACACCGACCAAACAGTGGAACAACCAGTCACTATGGTGCACACTGATCACCAGGGGGCAGATGCTCAATACAGGAGCTGCCCCCTGGTGGTCAGTGCGCTCCCACAGGGGGAGTGCTACTCAGCCAGAAGCCCTGAGCTGGGCTCAAAGCTGGCAAGTGCAGCAGCAGTGGTGGGAGCCTCTCCTGCCTCTGTAGCAGAGCTAAGGATGTCTGGCTGCTGGCTTAGGCTCGCATCCCCCGAGGGCTCCCAGACTGCGAGAGGGCACAGGCCAGGCTGATGGACCCCAGCCATGTGCATGTTGGGGGCGACCAGGCCAGCAGGGGAGGGCCGTTAGGGGCAACCAGGCAGGCAGGCAGAGGTGGTTAGGGGCAATCAGGCAGGCAGGGGAGCATTTAGGGGCATTAAGCAGGCAGGCAGCGAGTGGTTAGGAACCAGTGGTCCTGGATTGCGAGAGGGATGTCCGACTGCGGTCCAGGAATGGAGAGGGTGCAGGCTGGGCTGAGAGGACCTCCCCACCCCCCCGCATGAATTTTGTGTACCGGGCCTCTAGTTATATTATAATGAAGCTGAAAAAGTCTGATTGCCTAGTGAGGTTAGAACTTTCATAATGTCAGAGCACAACCCTGTACTCATGTGTCTGTGGTAGTGATGGTGTAAACAAATATGTGCTGCCAGTAAAAGTATAGCACATACAATTGTGTACAGTATATAATAATTGATAGTGATAATAAATGACTGTTACTGGTTTATTTATTGTACTATATTCTTTATTATTTTTAGAGTATATTTATTCAAAAAACTTATTCAAAACACTTGGCTCTAAAACAGTATGATGTGCCTCATACATCTTATGTTTACTGTGTCTCTAGATTGCATCATTTTCTTTTATGCTTCATTTAATCTGGGGTTGTTTTATAAATTTGGTGTACCTTAAGTGTATAGTGTTTATAATTTAGAGTGGTGTACAGTAATATCCTAGGCCTTCACATTCACTGACTGATTCACCCAGAGCAACATCTAGTCCAGCAAACTCCATTCATGGTAATAAATGCCCTATACATGTGTACCATTTCTTATCTTTTATACTATACTAGAGGCCCAGTGCACGACATTCATGCACTCGGTAGGGGAGGGAGGCCCTCAGCCTGGCCTGCACCCTCTTGCAGTCCAGGAGCCCTAGGTGGATGTCCGACTGATGGCAGTTGGACATCTTTAGCACTGCTATGGAGGTGGGAGAGGCTCCCACCACCACAGCTGCTGCACTTACCAACTGTGAGCTCAGCTCAGGGCTCCTGTGTTGAGCATCTGACCCCTAGTGGTCAGTGTGCATCATAGTGCCCAGTCATTTTGCCTTTCAGTTGATTTGCATATTAGCCTTTTATTATATAGGATTATTGCTATACCTTTTCTATGTTTATATATGTTTACATACATAAATATTTAACATTGTGTTACAGTTGCTTACAGTATTCAATACAGTAACATGTTGTATAGATTTGTAGCCTAGGAGCAATAGACTATACCATATAGCCTGTGCATGTAGTAGGCTATTCCATTTAGGTTTTCATAAGTGAATTCTATGATGCACAGTGACAAAATAACCTAATGACGCATTTCTCAGAATGTATCCCCATCTTAAGCAGCACATGACTGTATTCACTACGTTGGGTAACTATCACCACTGAGAAGTCTTTCTCCATTCTGTCTTCCCCCAGCCCTGGCAACCCACTAATCTCCTTTCTGTCTCTGGATTTGCCTGGTGTGGACATTTCATACTGAACAAAAATCATACAATATTGGTCTTTTCGGTCCATCTTCTTTCACTTAGAATATTGTTTTCAAGATCCATGCATATTGTAGCATGTATGGTACTTTTTTCCTTTTTATAGCCAAATTGTATTTTATTGTGTGGATTATACTACACTTTATCCATTCATCAGTTTATGGACTTTTGGGTTTTCCTACTTTTTAGCTAGAGTAATGATACTAGGAATATCAACTTTTTATATCATTATGTGTCTCTGCTTTTTAAATAGATATCACTTTTACTTTATTAATAAGCTATACTTACTTAGACTTACATATTTGGCAGACATTTTCTGCAAATGAACCAAGTGACCCTCTCACTTCAAAGAAAACACCTGACTATATTATAAGTGGTAAAGTTTGAGATTTCAAGCAAATATTAGAATTGTGGAAAACTTTTATTTCCCACTGTGAGCATGACAACTTTCCAGTAGAGAACTTCTGATGAGATTGTTGATAATATGAAGGAACATGACTTTCTGATAGTTTAATAGTTTAATAAAGTGTGTCCACATTTGGAAATGCCGCACAATTCTGTGAACCACTATTTTCTGAATCATGAATTTATAATACTATAAAACCATGTCCATTTAAAGTGTAGGAAAGACAAAAATGTTTCTTAAAAGAGCTTTATTGAGGTAAATTTAATTACAATGTAATTTATCTCTTCTAAGAATACAGTTCAGTGATTTAAAATAAATTTATAGTTATAACCATTACCTCAGTCCAATTTCAGAGCATTTACATTACCCTAAGAGGATTTTTTTATGCCAATTTGCAGGCATTACCCTTTACAATTCCCAGTTACAGGCAATTACTAATCTACTTTTTGTTTTTATATTTATATTTTAGCATTTTCTGGACATTTCATAGTAATGGAATCATACAATGTGTGGTCTTTTGCATAATGTTTTTGCGGTTCATTCAAGTTATGTTATCAGTAGTTTGGTGGGTTTTGGTGCAGAAATACTACTATCCCATTGTGTGGATATTACACACTTATTTATCCTTTTATCATTTGATGGGTATTTAAGTTATTTCCACATTTGGGGTATTATAAAAATGCTACTACATGAATATTCATGTTTATGAATATTTTTTGTGAGAACATATGTTTTCAGTTCTCTTGTATGTAAACCTAAGAATAGAATTTCTGGGTCATACGATAACTCTATGTTGAATATTTTCAAAAAATGCTAAACTGTTTTCCAAATGAGTGTACCATTTTACAGTACCAACTGCAGTATCTGAAGGTTCCAGTCTCTCCACATTCTCACCAAAAGTCATTATTGTCTTTTTAAATTGTAGCCATTCCAGTGAGTGTGAAACAGTATCTCATCATGGCTTTAATTCGCATTTTCCTGATTACTGATGATTTTGAATGTATTTTCATGTGCCTGTTGGCCATTTGTACTTTTTAAATAAACTATCTATTCAATGTTTTGCCCATTTTAAAATTATCTTCTTATTTTTGAGTTGTAACCGTTTTTCATATATTCTAGATATAAGTTCTTTATCAGCTATACTATTGTGATTTGCAAATATCTTCTCAAGTCTGTGGCTTATCTTTTTATTTTCTTAATGGTACTTTGAGTAAAAGTTGTAAATTTTAATGAAGCCCAGGAAAATGATTTTAATGCCACAGAGCATGAAGTGTTCGTTGGTATGGTTTTAGTTTCCATATTTTAATTAACCTTTAAGGTATCATTTGTAGAGGTTTGATGTAGTATTATCTAAAAGGACAAAGTATTCTTTTATTTTTATCAATTTTATATCTGTGTGAACCTGGATTGTCTTCGTATCTTTCAAACTAAACTGTACCTGCCAACAGGTTGAATGAAGATGGGGATATGAGATGCAAGTGTCTTTTATTAAGCCCCATATTAAAGAGATCTACAAAAAGTTAAAACAATACCCTTTTTGTCATTACTTTTTTTTAATTTTAAAGATATAGTTGTTTTTCATGAAAATGTTATTTATGTTAACGTATAATATGTTTAGTGTTAATTTTAAATGAATTGGATAAATACTTAAAATTAATACTGATACGATAGTAAATATCAGTAGGTATAACTTATGTTTGAGGTCGTCAGTAATTTTCAAAAGTGTAAAAGGTTTTTGAGGTTAAAAATTTGAGAACTGCTGCTTTTAATTTAACATGCTGATTAGACTCAAATAAGGTAGCTCTTAATGTGTTTATAGAATTGCTTTTTGATTTTCATATGTTAGTCTTGTTTCTCTACTAAATTATTAGCTTTTTGAAAGCAGGGAACACATATTTTACTTTTATTTTATTTCTTATAAGATCATAATTTTCCTTGTGGAATAAGTGCTCAAAAGGACTTTATAAGGGATTGAAGGATTTCCTAATGGCTGACCATGTTAGGGCAACATTTACTGTTGGCTTTTACATAAGAAGCTGTATTCTTTCATTCAGGTGGAAGAGCACAATGGTCACATCTTCAAGGCCACTCAGTATAGCATTCCTACATACTGTGAGTACTGTTCTTCTTTGATATGGATAATGGACCGAGCCTCTGTTTGCAAATGTAAGTATAAGAGATCTTTGAGGAATTTTTTAACTGCTTGACATTTCTATTTCCCTTACTACTTCTTTTTTTTAAAAAGACCTCGTCTACTTAAAAAAAACAACTAATTTATTTTAGAGAGAGAAAAAGAGAAAGAAGCATCAATGTGAGAGAAATACATTGCCCTGACAGGCAATTGAACCCACCACCTTTTGGTGTATGGGACAGTGCTCCAACCAACTGAGCCACACAGGCAGAGTTCCCTTAGTTTTCTTATGTCACTATTTCTAATTCTCTAACCTCATCTCTCTCTACTCTCAGTAGCCAAACCAGGTATTTTGCTGTTCTTTGGTCACTCTACTTGCAGCTCACTCTATCTGAAATGTTCTAGATGTTAGTTGAACTTTACTATTTCAGTTAATTTATGTCTCTACTCAAATGTTAACTCTTTGAGAGCTCTTTCCTTATTCTGTACCTAAAATGCCACCCGGTCCCCTAATTTTCTGTCCCATTACTCAACTTTAAAAATCTTTTATAGTACTTATTGCCACTCAAGATTATATTAAGTATTCATTTATTTTCTTGTTTGTTTGTCCCACTAGAATGTATGTCCTATAAGGTTGGGAAACTTATCTGTCCCTTCTATATCACCAGTGCCTAAAACAGTTCTGGCATATTGTAAGTTATAATAATATTTTAATGTAGATGGACCTATAGAATGGATTAATTACCTAATGAATTCTTAGATTATAACCTAAAGGGTACTTTTTTTTTACTGTAATCTTTCCATCAGAACATATAAATCCTAGATTGTAAATTGGGACTTTTTGTAGGTCAACTTGGTGCTGGCTTATAAGAGGACCTTTCTTCATTCCTGTCATTTCATAGATCTACTCTGGTGCTGTCAGTAATTCTTTGAGGGTTTAATTACTAATGGCTGGGTCTAGTAAGGCAACAAGGATAAAAGTCATCTTCTCCATAGCCAAATCACCACTATTGCTAGATATGTTTACATGTTCTATGCTTTAACAATTGTTTCCGTTTGTTTTGTTGAAAAAGCTATAGTGATTTATTTAATGTCAGTCTGATTCCTTTTGGTTTGGTATAATTTTATCTCTGATTTGAAACTGAAATGTAAAGAATCTGCTTTTTTATGACTTGGGTGGGCTTGGTTTGATTTCTTAGTAGAATTACTTTCTTTGTGACTATACTGGTGATTTCACTGGTCAATGAGGTCCTTACTTGGTCTTGGTCTTGAAACACTGCAAGTTATACTATTGGAGGTCAAGGATATAATATGCAGGTGCTGGTGCTTGTATAGCAAAATGACATAGGCCAGCTGTGTTCTTAGTGTCTTCCTATTGATGTGCCTCTTCCAACCTGCCTAGACACCCTATTTTCTCCTGCTGTAAGATGTTATTTCTGCTCTGAACCTTTTTTTTATCTTATCCCCCAAAACACAGCTGATATTTTTATGTTTTGATCTTCAAAGCTCTATTCTGGACTTTTTAAGGCCTTTCTTATACCTTATGCGTTAATTTTTTTTTATTATTTCAGTAAAGGTCTTTGGCAGTAATGCCTTTCTTAACCATTGGAATGTTTGCAAATGTAGCTATTTCTGGCATTTTGGCAGATTGTAAAATGAGGGGAACATGAATAACTTGTGAATCAAACCACAGAGACAAATAAATATTGTACTGGAATATGGGAGGGGAGGGGAGGAACAGTAGGCAAAATTATAAAAAGTATAGACATTGTTTAGAAACTTTATGCATGTTTTTCAACTTTATTTTTCCAAATAGAATGGGTTAGATAAGTAAATTGAATTTATAAAGGATGGGTTAAATTTTTTTTCTTTCTAATATTGTACAAAGTGTATATTTAATATTATGGCAGTCTGAGATCTAAAGAAAAAAATTTATATCCAAAATAAACATAAACTTTTTAAGTTCTTGTCATTGATGTACAGACTTCTAAAAATTCTGCATTCTTAACCTGTTTTTCAGTATGCAAGTATGCTTGCCATAAGAAGTGCTGTCTGAAAACCATAGCCAAGTGTTCTAAAAAGGTAAGAAGTTATTACCTATGAGTAATAATTAACAGATCTTTTGGTTTTTTGTGCCTCATGAAAAGAAACCAAGGCCTCTCTCATAGTTTCATAGAGCAGTGGGTTTTAAACTTTGACTGCAAATCATAGTAAGAAATATACATTTTATGTCATGATCCAGCATACACATATAGAAAGATATATATTTATATATAACTGAATTGATTTTCTTGGAACTACATTTTCCTTTACTACATGGGAGCTACTAAACTGATTCCCCTACAATATATTAAAACACGGCTTTTAAAGGTTTTCTACTTCATTAAACACTCATATGTCTTCCTAGGAGTTGTCTTAAAAGTGGTAGTTTACCATTAAATATTTTAACATGAACATCAAAATGCACCATTTAGTTGGTGGATACACAGAGGTCTAAAAGATACTGAACATGTATTTTGGTGTCTCATGCTTCCAGGAAGCAACTGTTTTTGAAAGATTTCAGGCTTTTAATGATGTATAATCACATTTTCTTACTTATTAGTAACATACAGACAATTGTAACAATACTGTGCAAATCTGAACTATAATATAAATGTGTGTGCATGCTGTCTATAGCCTATAGATAGAATTTTCATTTGTTCCAAATTAGTAGACAAATCATGGCTACTTACCAGAGAGAATAGGGTGAATCCTCTGTAAAGAGAGAGAACATCATCCACAGCTTTTATAATTTGTTTATATACAATATCAGACATTAAGAAATGAGACTAACAGAAAAACAATATCAATAGACTCACAGATGATCCAATTACTGAGTTGTCAGACATGTACTTTAAAAAATTTTTATTAGAATGTTCAAATAATAGGTAAAAAGAGAGAAATTTTCTATCAGAAAGAAACTAGACCACCTTCTTATAAGAAAAAGCTCTGAATGGATTAAAGACTTAAATGTTAGACTTAAAACCATAAAATTCCTAGAAGAAAACATAGGCAGTAAAATCTCTGACATTTCTCTTAGCAATATTTGTTCTGTTATATTTCTTCAAGTACAGGAAACAAAAGAAAGACAAATGGGACCATACCAAACTAAAAAATTTTTGCATAACAAAGGAAATCATCAACAAAACAAAAAGACAACCTTCTGAATAGGAGAATATATTCACCAATGATATGTCTGATAATGGGTTAATATTCGAAATATATAAGGAACTCATACAACTTAAAACACACACACACCAAAAGAATACAACAACAAACAAAGCCAATTCAATTAAAAAATGGGCAGAGGACTTGAAAAGACATTTCTCTAAGACAAGCATATCAAACTCAAAGGCTAACACAGGCCACATAAACAAGGTTTAAGTTTATGTGGGCCACAAAAAAATGAAAGCTTCAATTTTCATAGAAACGTAGGTTTATTTCAATAGAGATATGCTGAATACAAAGGGCTGAAATAAATGAGTAATCGTTAACATAAAGAATGAATGCAACATGATTATAATAATCAGTCATTAACGAACGTAGTAGTTCGTTATTAACTAGAGGTCTGGTGCATGAAATTTGTGCATGGGAGGGGAGGGCAGGTCCCTCAGCCCGGCCTGCACCCTCTCCAATCCAGGACCCCTCAGGGGATGTCCAACTGTGGGATTGATCCTAAACCGACAGTTGGACATCCCTCTCACAACCCAGGACTGCTGACTCCTAAGCGCTTGCCTGCCCGTCTGCCTGCCTAATGCCCCTAACTGCTGCCCTGCCAGCCTGATTGCCCCTAACCATCTCCACCTACCAGCCTGATTGCCCCCTAACTGCCCCACTTGCCAGCCTGATCACCCCTAACTGCCCTCCCCTGCTGGCCTATCACCCCTAATTGCCCTTCCCTGCCGGCCTGATTGCCCCTAACCACCTCTGCCTCAGCCTCCGCCACCATGGCTTTGTTTGGAAGATGTCCGGTCTAATTAGCATATTACCCTTTTATTAGTATAGATTATGTATAACAGGATATTGTAAAAATTAAGTTGCGAAATTTTTATTAAAACATTTCTTACATACCGTTGTATTGGCTGAGCCGCAAAAATATTTGTAGTGGGCTGCATGTAGCCCGTGGGCCACAAGTTTGACATGCTTGCTCTAAGAGGACATATAGGTGGCCAGTAGATATATGAAAAATGCTAAATGTCACTGACCATTAGGGAATTGAAAATGAAAACCATAAGATATCACCTCACACCTGTCAGAATGGCAATCATCAATAAATCTACAAACAGCCCTGGCATTAGGTTTGATTCCCAGTCCGGGAAACATATCTAGGTTGTGATTTGATCACTGGTTGGAGTACGCACAGGGGGCAACCAATCAGTGTTTCTCTCTCACATCGATGTTTCTTTCTCCCCCATTTCCTTCCCTTTCCCTTCCTTTCTCTAAACATATCCTTGGTGAAGATTAGAAACAAAACATAACCTTGGGTGAAGATTAATAAAAATAAATCAATCAATCAACAAACAGCAATTGTTGGCAAGGATGTGGAGAAAAGGGAACCCTCATGCACTTCTGGTGTGATTGTAAATTGATGTAGCCACTATGGAAAACAGTATTGAGGTTCCTCAAAAATTTAAAAATGGAACTACCTTATGACCCAGCAATTCTTCTTCTGGGTACTTATCTGGAGAAATCCAAAACACTAATTCAAAAAGATATATGCACCCTATATTTATTGCACCATTATTTAGAGACCCAAGACTCAGCAACCTAAGTCTCCATTGATAAATGAATGGCTAAAGAAGAGGTGGTGCATATATATAATGGAATATTACTCAGCCATATAAAGCAAATTAATCTTACAATTTGTGATAACCTAGAGGATATTATGCTAAGTGAAATAAGTTAGAGAAAGACAAATCCCATATGATTTCACTTATATGTGGAATCTAAAAAATATATTAACAAGCAAAATAGAAACTCACAGATACAAAGAACATTTTGATAGTTGCCAGATGGGAAGGAGGTTGGGGGATAGGTATAAGGGAGAAGAAATTAAGATGTACAAATTGCCAATTATAAAAATAGTCATGGGTATGTAAAATACAACATAGGGAATATAGTTAACATTGTAATAACTGTGTATGGTGTCACGTGGTTACTAGACTTATCTGGGTTATCCCTTTGTAGGTTATATAAATGGCTAAATACTATGTTATACACCTGAAACTAATATAATATTGCACATCAACTGTAATTGAAAAAATTTTTAAAAACAAAGAAAAATTTGCCCAAAGCTATCCTCCTATATAATAAAAGCCTAATATGCTAAGTGTCTGGTCATCCAGTTGGCCGTTCAACCAATCAAAGCATAATATGCAAATGATATGCTAAGGCCGCTCAACTGCTCGCTATGACATGCACTGACCACCAGGGGGCAGATGTTCCGACTGGTAGGTCAGCGTGCTGCTAGGGTCCAGCCGATTGGGGCTGAGCGAGATGGGCCGGAAATGCCCAGGAGCCCTCCTGTGGTCCATCCCCGGCTGGCCAACTTCCTATGCCCCTCCCTAGCCCCGATCGTGCACTTATGGGGTCCCTCGGCCTGGCTTGTGCCTTCTCACAATCCGGGACCCCTCGAGAGATGTTGGAGAGCTGGTTTTGGTCCGACGGCGGAACAACTAGTCACTATGATGCACACTGACCATCGGGGGCAGATGTTCAACACAGAAGCTGCCCCTTGGTGGTCAGTATGCTCCCACAGGGGGAGCGCTGCTCAGCCAGAAGCCAGGCTCATGGCTGGCAAATGCAGCAGTGGTGGTGGGAGTCTCTCCGGCCTCCACAGCAGCACTAAGTCATGTCCGACTGATGGCTTAGGCCCTAAGCCGTCAGTCGGACATCCCCCAAGGGCTCCCAGACTGTGAGAGGGCACAGGCCTGGCTGAGGGACCCCCTGAGTTTATGAATTTCGTGCACCAGGCCTCTAGTAATAAATAAACAGCATATTAAAAATAAAAAATGTTAATAAACCAAATACTTTGAATTACAACATCAGGTTAAAACCAACTGAAAGACTTCAGTGATATCCTGTTTATAACAGACATGCTTAAATATAAAGATAGAGAAAAGTTGAAAGCAAAGGATAGATAGATATAGGATAGAAAGAGTAGCCAGTAGAAAGGTGGTGTAGCTGTATAATATTAAAGTGTACTTTAGGACAAGAAACATTATGTCAGATAAAGATGTTTAATAATGAGAAAATGGTGAACCTATCAGGGAGACAGAAAAATTTTATCTTTAGAACAGTCTAATATAGCTTTTAATACCTGGCAGACAAAAATTCAGTAAAGATGAAAATGATATGAAAAACAAAGGTTAAAAAACTTAACCTAGCGCTAGCCGGTTTGGCTCAGTGGATAGAGCGTCGGCCTGTGGACTCACGGGTCCTGGGTTCGATTCCAGTCAGGGGCATGTACCTTGGTTGTGGGCACATCCCCAGTGGGGGGCGTGCAGGAGGCAGCTGGTCGATGTTTCTCTCTCATCGATATTTCTAACTCTATCCCTCTCCCTTCTTCTCTGTAAAAAAATCAATAAATTTCTTTAAAAAAAAAAAACTTAACCTAGTTGTCATGTATTGAACTTGACATCCTATAATTGCCTGACTACAGTCTTTTCAAGTGCACATGGAACATTTGACAAAATCAGTCAGGTTGGGCCATAAAGCAAGTTCCTACAAATTTCAAAAGATAGAAAATATTGAGAGTATATTCTTTGAGCAGAATTGAATTAAGCTATACATAAACATAAGGATAACTAGACAATTCTCATGTTTGGAAATTAAGCAGTATACTTCTAAATTACAATAAAAGTAGAAAAATATTTTTATTTCAGTGGTAATGAAATTATGACATAGCAAAAGTGTGGCTATAGATAAAGAATAGTTATAACTTTAAATCATATATTACAAAAGATACAAGGATAGAAATGATCTAAATTGCCATTTCTAGAAAAAAAAATCCCAGGAAGTTAAACCCAAAGACAGCAAAAGGA